ACCACTCAGTGTATTTAGAGATTCAAACATTAGGTTAACACGAGAACTATGCATTTGTAAGATAAACTAATACATGTATATTCATGTCTAATCTATAAAGTCAAACTTTACAGCATTACAGTTAATTAATGTTATACATATGATACACAAGTGGTGAGAATGAACATTTTACTATAGAGTGACGCGAAACAGTATTTCAATATTAAATAGATTGTAAGTTAAATTAGTGTATGGATACGAGTGTGATGCATATGATAAATATCTAGTTTCAATGTTTTATGTTAATTTAGAATACGTGTCTCAAATATTCAAATATCTTTTTATTGTTACTGAAGTGAAACTGTGAAGCATAGTTTACAATAACGATAATGTAGAGAATAATGTAGTATTAGAAATAAACAGAATGAAAGGGTTTATTTTGTAATGTGATACAAAAGATATATATATGTAGAGTTTGATAATGATAAGTCAATATGACAAATTGTTTACTACGTAGGTTGTAAGTTAAAAACTAGTATATTGCAAATTACATGTGTAAACTATAAAGTACAATATACAAGTAGACAAACTGTAATGCACAATATATTTTTAGGTATTCAAATGCTTTGTTTATTTATGCTACTGAGAAGCTATAAAAGTTTACACTAACGTTAATGCAGAAAGTAATATATGTTATGAAACAGAGAATGAAAATAGTAGGTTTTTTATTATTATCATCATCATTTAGTACTTAACAGAAGGAATCGAAACATAATGACAACCATAAAAATTGCCGGTTTAAAACCACCTTTAAAATGCCTGAATGCTAACAATGACTATGTCACAGTATTGGCTGAGCAAAACTAAAGCTTATTGTACTTATAAAGCCGCATAAATCTTTATATACGTGTTGACGGAGTGAATCATATTTCACTATTTCAACTAATTTTCATCTAAGTAAATAAGTAAGTCACTTTTTCAGACAAGCGTACAGAAAAAATAATCTTATTATTCAAATTATTTCATAGAATTCCTCCGACTGGCTCAGACTAACATAATTACAATGATTTGCCAAAGTAGGGTTAAATGTTTCTTTAATTTTAAGTAACTCGGCCTTTGTAGTTTTGGCTTTCTTGTTTCAATACTTTTGAAGCATTAAAATTTTCTATATTATTATATCTAATTAGGTTACGTGTACATCGATCCCTACTTGTCTTTATAAAATTAAAAAAAAATTGTTTGCTTGTATTGAACTTCGCGAAAAGCTACACGCGGGCTATTTGCACTAGTCGTCCATAATTTAGTAGTGACAGACTAGAGGGAAGGCAGCTAGTCAACACCACCCACCGCCAACTCTTGGGCTACTCTTTTACCAACGAATAGTGGGATTCATCGTCACATTATAGCGCCCCACGGATGAAAGGGCGAGCATATTTGGTGGGACGGGGATTCGAAACCGTAACCTTCAGATTGCGAGTCAAGCGCCCTAAGCACCTGGCCATTCCGGGCCAAAATAATAATAATAATTTTTACACAACATGTTAGAACTTGATATCCATGATCAAATAAGTTCAACAACACCTTCGCTTGCTAACACTCCAGAGATTATCTCAACCATCTCCTAGTGACTTACTTTAGAGCTATCCGCCCCTAGTGACACTTCCTAGAACTATTTGCCCTCTGTCACCAATTTTTGGAAATACGATGGCACTTGACCTCTCAGTCTCAAAGCATGTCCTCATCCTGTGGCACCCTTTAATCTCCTCTCACTGATGATCCCACTAAAGTAACTTTTGTTGGTCACCCACAATATTTTATAATAGTGATCAAGGTCCACCCTTTCCATGTAATTTGCATCCATGGACCACATGTCTAGTTGCGCCACTGCCGAAATCGTTTCCTACATTTTAAGAAATATTCCTGACATTGAGATAAGTATTCGTCCAGTAATGTCGAAGCTTTCATCAACTCCACAAGATGCCAGAAAGTGTACCGTTTATTGTATAAACGCTAAAATCCGGGGATAGATTATCCGCGATGAACACAATGTGGCTTTGCTCTAAGACATTATTCATTGGTAATAATTTAAATTTAAATATTTGTGTCAGATTGTGAAAGAAATATAGTTACTCACATTCAACTTCTACTACAATTCTGCGACTTATTGATGGAGGTACATCGTTGGAAGCGATACAGAGATAGGCTCCCATGTGGAGACGACTTATACGGGTAATAATCAGTTGTTCTCCAAGATAAGAAGCGACTAAAAACAAAAAATAACCAAACTAATAATCGTATGAAATCCAAAATATAAAACAACAAAAAGAATAACTGATTATATTACTTTATCTTCAGCGAATCTTGCTGCCAGTGATGTAATCAGAACAAATAATACGCTTCTCCATACCTTTAAAGTACGAAGCCTGTGAGAAAAGTATCCGACCTTTGGCCGGGGAAGAAAAACTGGCATACCTGGAGCGTTGGAAACCTAATCAAACTC